AAATGCTTTGCAATGGAATTGATGCAGACAAAAAAATTACAGTAATAACAGCCATCATTTTTGACAGTTTTTGATGCTTTTCTCGTTGATGTTATTAAAAAAAAAAAAAAGAACATTATATAATTTTAAACATTATTTTCAAGACAGAAAATTAGGATAATGGCATTGGTAGAACTCAGGTGTAAGGAAGGCTTGGTAATATGTTCTTCATTTGTTTTTATCCATGTCACTATATCAATACATTGGCTAAAGTTCCAAAACCCTGAGAAATTCTACTAAGTAGGATAGACCGAAAGTAGGAAGATAAACAAATAAGCAAGGAAGTTGTCAGTTTTATGATCCATTTCTTTAGAAGTACAGAAAAATCTATAGGGAAAAAGAAAACAACAATATGTAGAAAAACTTTCACTAGCAGGATGTGAGGGAAGTCTATGCTCTTGAATTTATAAGAGGGTTTTCTATTATTGCCGTTGTTTGCTCATTTGTTTTTCATATATTATTTCCAGATTGAGGCAGATTCTTAAAATAAGCTGCCGCCTATGTATTTCAACCAGGAGTGTCACCCATACATGAATTAGTACTCTGTCATTTATATTAAATGTGATGTTATTAATGTTATTAATGCCCAGGTGTGCTTTGATAAAAGTTTTAGAATTTTTTAATTCCAAAAAATTTATAAATATAAATTCAGGGTATTTCCTGGCCCCTGTGACATGATGTGTTACAAAATATTACAATTACATTTTATAACTTGTGTAGACTTACCCTATATTGGCTTCAGTCGGTAACTATTATGCATTAAGTTAAATGCAATCACAGAGTACCGCTAAAAGTAAATGTTCATAAAGAAAGCACTCACCTCACAGTATCTGAAATATATGCCCTAGAAAAGTAATTTTTTTATTATTATTATTTTTTTTCTGAGACATCAAGAGTACATCCTTAGACTCAGCAGATCCTTCAGTCGATTTCTGATCAGCCAGTCACTTCTTGCTTTAAACAGATTGCCTTTTTGCTTTGGGTCTAATCCAGATCCACTACATGGAGCCAGTGTTGGCCACTGAGGCAGTTGCTGAACTCTGCATAGCACCCCTGCCTCTACACAAGCAGATCACAATAACCTCTTGCATGTCTTCAAAATATCAATGAGAAGGCTTCCCCTGCCTACATATGTCTGATCTTTCTCTAGCTGCTTCTCTGGGACTGGCAGGTATCATTTGGCATCCCTCAGTGAAAATGTTATAAAGCATATATTGAGCTGGTTGCCAGCTGTGTTTGTTCAGGTACAAATATCCTCTTCTGCTTGCAGCACAGCAGCTATTTGGGATTCTTGTTTGAGTTTTATTTTGATCTAGATTCCTTGTATATAGTTCTTCTGTAAAGGCTTTCAGCTTTCATTGTCTTTTTATCCTAAGAAGATTTTTAGCATGTCTCAGAGAGGGATTCTGTAGATGTATATCTAAACTATCAAACTTAAAATGCAATCAGAATTTGTAAAGAGATAAGCTGAGTAAACTTTTTCAGCAAAAAATAAAAAATACACTCAACAGTTTTATCAACGAAGTCATAAAAAAAGAAAATCTGAACAAATTTGAAAAATATTTACTTTTTAAAATGCAGATTACCCTCTCTGCAAAAACTCTATCAATTTTAATTTAGTATTAAATGAAGTGCTTTTCTATATGCACAAAACTTAAACAAACTGTTTTATTAGGGATCAAAAGCAACATTGAACACAGAATGATTTTAATTCACTAAAATATAAGTAACTTAAAATTACAGTCATGTTAGGTCAACACAAAGACTCTTTTTGATTTTGTTTCACATTTACCCAGTAAATAAAATGGAGCCCCTGGGGCCCACCAGATGCCTTTCTTTGACTTATTCTCCATTTAATGACTTCTTTACTAACTGCTTTGTCCACACATTAGGAACAGAGTATTTGTAGTTTAAAATTAAATAACAAAAGAACTATGTATATGAACACCATATCATTTGTGGACTCATCTTTAATTAATTCATCTGAAAGCTTGTGACAGTTTAGTATTCTACTGTATTTCTGTATGTGGTGCATCCTCCCTATTTAAGGACATATTTCTACCTTGGACTCTGTCTTTAATTGCTTACTGTGAATGGCTAGGAAGATCACCAGAGTGTATAATGATGTTGATAAGATCTTGCACACCTTTGGGAATCCTGCCTAATATCACAAACTTATCTCTGTTGTACTCTTATTCCCACAATACAGGTTGTTTGAGATATTTTCCTTTTGCCTTAACATAGTTTGTAACCTCTTCCAAACACAGCCTTTGTCTTTGAGTATCTGGAATCTAGATTGATGGGGCACCCATCCTCAGATGGGACTTCATGGTAGTACTGCAATGTAATTATTATCACATGGATCTTAATATGGTATGCTAAAAATAATTTAAAATAATAAAATAATGACATTTATAGATGCAACTCTGTTTATTTTTTTAAACAGTAAAAAAGATGTATTTTATTTCTAAAGGAAAAATGGGTTGTTGTCTTAGAATGTGATTTGCTACATTTGGATGTTTTTTTGTTTGTTTGTTTGTTTGTTTGTTTCGTTTTTAATCCCTAACAGGTTCACCACCTATAGGTTGATTATTTACACAATATGTAGGATCCCTTTCCATTTCTCCTAATTTGCTGCCTGTGTAGCAGATTTCTTGTGCTGTCCCTAGTTCCACTCAATAGCCTGAATTTTTGTAGGAAGAAAGAAGGAGAAGGAGTTTTCCAGTTGGGCCATGAAGTGGCCAAGAAAGTGCACAGTGGCTTTTCAGGTAGGGCAGCCTGAACCTTGGCTGAATCTGGGTCCTAAAACTCATTTCAGCAGTGATGGTAATTAACAAGTACGTACACCTCACTCCTACTTATGCAACAACTTTCAGAAATTTTTCAAGAGCTGGATTAAATGATGGACAGCAGATGAATTACTGCTCCCAAACCACTGTAAAAAATTGAGTACACCTATGACACCTTGTGCTCAGAGAACACAAGGATAGGCAATTTCTGGCTGAAATTGAGTATTGTGTAAAAAATGTAATTTTTTTGACTGGGAAGAGTCTAATTGGTAAGAGGAAGAGAATACAAACAAATGTGCCATTTTATCTAATTATTTACCTCTACATAGTGCAAAGAAGACCCAAATTTTCATGTTAAAAAATCTGGTTCAAATCCATTTCAGAAATTGAAGAGCAAAATTTTGATTTGAGTTTTTGTTAGTCTTAAGGTTTTTATTTGCTCAGCCTATTTATTTATTTATTTATTTATTTACTTTAGCGTAATTTGCTGGCTCTTACAAAATTAAAAAAAAAAATAAAATCATCCTCTTATTTGTTTGCCCATTGGACTCATCATTGCAATTTCTTGAGGGTAAATTTTGTCATGGGAAGATGATTACATGCTTTTCAGAACAATTTAATTTGATGTAACAATACTGTAACTCATTAAATCTTCCAGAGAGATTCTGTAGCATATCCAAATTAAACACAATAACTAATCCACATCTATATTTTAATACCAGATAACTATACTTTATTTTGGATAATGCTCTTGTATTATTTTAAAATTAATAAAAATATCTCAGATAAAAATAAATTTGTCCCACCAAAGATGAAACATTTTTATTGGTAATGAAATACTGTGACATCTAAAGCTGTAATAATTTCACAAAAATGCTGAATTGTGTTATCATAGGGAACAGAGGACTCTATCTGTGAAAGGTCTAGTCAAGAGAAGCCTAACATTAGGTGGAGTTAATACACAATTTCTGATAATTTGGAGTTTAACCATACTGCTATTGTAGGTGGGCAAGAAAGAATTCTGTAATATCAAGCCTGAAATCATTTAATCAGGAATGTAAATCAGTTATGTGCTTCAGTTACCAAATGTTGATAGAATTGGCTATGGTAGATTGTTGTTTTTTAATTACAGCTGCTCTGTAATGTTGTTGTGTTATCAGGTTCCAAGAAAGAAAATAGTATAGTATGGCACTTTGCTATGCCAAATGACCACTGATACTGCCAAGTATAAATACTACCAGGGTGGGTTCTTCTATAGGATGATAACCACACTTCTAAAGCAGTGAATGCCACACTTCCCTATATGTATTTACGTTCAGATAATTTATTTAAATAATGTTCCTACTACATGCTTTATAGCCCTCTGCCTTTTGCTACACAAATTTTAGCTTATATTGCAGACTGTGCAAGTCATTTGGCAAATGTAATTTCCATCCCTGCATACTAATCGATTTCTTCACAAACACCTGCTATCAGTTATGATAATAAAAATGCCATTCTAAATTGAAAAGGGGCCAAATGGAGCTTCCTAAGGAAATGACTTAAGTGTCTTTCAATGCCTTTAATGTAGTAATGTTCTTGTAGTGCCAACACTTTTTCTGATCATTTGCATTTTATATAATTTTACTCTATTACATCATTTTTCTGTCTAAATGGATCCTTATAACCATTGCTATGAAGTAGTTCATGGGGAGATCGGAGAGGAATTTCTGTGTTTCTTCTCTCATGGGATTAAATCCAGACAACTTTACATAGTCTAAATTCCTTAGCAGAGATCTGGTTGGATCTGCACTATCCTAGTATAAATATTAAATGATTGTATCAGATTCTATAACATCACTGGGAAAATATTGCAAAGCTGGGGGGTGATTTGCTCCTGGATTACATGCCAGTTTCTTCCTAAACTATAAGTCTAAATTTAGCAGCCAGATTGCATGTAGGATTTGAATTATCCAGGGTCACTTTATAGCTCCTTCCATCCCATGAAATAACTTCCCAGTGACAGTCTTTGCCAGAACCTAATCGTTTTCAGCTCTACTAGGTCTTGTCTCAACTCTGAAATGTCTCACTGGCTTTCAGCTCTATTGTCATCTCCCCTGACAATGTCTTCTGCGTTATTTGTAAGGAAACAATCCGTTTTACTGATTTCTTTGCATTTTCATTTTCTCTTAGCACTAGCTGCCCAAGCGTATGCACTTAAAGAAGAGAATGATAGTCTTCGATGGCAACTGGACGCTTACAGGAATGAAGTGGAGCTTCTGAAACAAGAAAAAGGGCAGCTTTTTCGAACAGAAGAAAGCCTTACAAAAGACCAGCAATTGCAGTTTCTACAGCAGACAATGCAAGGCATGCAGCAGGTATTGCTATAGAAGAAAAACATGGGTTTTCTTTTTTAGGAAAGTGGTGCCAAGGAGCTGTGCTATATTCAAGGCTATTAGCCATGAATTATTAGTCTGATTTCTTTTCAAAGTCAAAATGATGCAGATTTTAGCTGGGGCGGACTGAGGGGAGGAAAGAGAAGGAGAAATGGGACATTTGTAGGGACAGTCATTTTAGTAATCACTAAATGCATTGATCACTCAAGGAAAATCCTCATGCATGTTGTAGTTATGAGCAAATTGCTTTTGTACATCCCCTATTTCTCTTCTCATTTAATCCAATTAGCCTTAATTCTGCATAGAAGTTCAAAAAAAGTTTTTCCAGTGCTCTGTGGCACCTTCATTTGCATTCATCTGCATCTTTAGATGCATCTTCACTTCTCAGCTTTCTTTTCCTCTTCTGCCTCTTGTTTGAGGATTTCAGACATTTCCAGCTTGTCCAGACAGTCCTTCTGCTATCTTACAAATGGATAGTAACATCGGTGTTATCTCCCAATATCTTTTTTATGTATGCTGAACCATGCATGTAATGTTTCCATTCAGGCAATATTTAAGTGGTTCAGTGCAGCAACAAAGTTTTCTTCTAATGCCAGTCAGCCATAAACTGCAATGTGTCCCTGTTGGGGGGGCTCAGTTTATCATACTCATCATCCCTTATCTGTCAGTGAGCTCTTGACATGGTGCAGGGAAAGACTTGGCAAGCACATCCAGACTGTTCCCACTGCTTCACCTCACATGTCCATTTACACATAAGCACTTCTCTTTCAACTTGAATGTGTAATAGTTCTTTCCTGCCCAAGCACCTACATTCAGCAAGGGCAAATAATAATAATAATAATAATAATAATAATAATAATAATAATAATAATAATAATAATAATAACAACAACAAAAGGCAAGGGCAGTGGCTCACCATGACACTGTTCTGATCTTTCACCTATGATGAACGCCTCCCTGCAAAGAAAAGCTGAGAGAATCAGAGTTGTTCAGTCTGGACAAGAGAAAACTCCAAGGAGCCCTGACTCTGGCCTTTCAATACTTAAAGGGGCCTTGTAAGAAATACGGAGAGAGACTTTTTATGAGGTCCTGTAGTGATAGGAAAAAGGAGAATGGCTGTTAACTAAAAGAGGGGAGATTTAGATTAGAAATAAGGAAGAAATTATTTACTCAGACGGTGATGAGTCACTGGAAGAGGTTGCCCAGAGAAGCCGTGGATGTCCCATCTCTGGAGGTGTTCAAGGCCAGGTTGGATGGGGTTTGGGGCAACATGATCTACTGAGTTGCATCCCTGCCCATGGCAGTGGGGTTGGAGCTAGGTGATCTTTAAGGTACCTTCCAACCCAAACCATTCTATGACTCTGATTTAGAACAGAGCTGCAGAGCTATGTTACTGAAGAGGTTAATTTTGCCTTGTTCGTGAGTGCCCTGAAGCAACACATGTCCTCCTCAATCATTCCTGGTAATTAGATTCCAGAAGAGGACAAGTCGTACCCACTTCCAGATTGTACTAAGCTGCTTTTTATGACAAAACTCCTCAGCCAGAAGATATTAATTTACGTATGAGCTGCCTGCCTGGCTGGATTAGGAATTGCATTGCTATCACACTACCTATCAAATCCAACCAGTCTACAAATCCTTCTTAACACCAAATAACAGGGTACAAGACAAGTTTAAGTACTACACATGTGTTTGTATGAACATAAGCCCCGTGTAAGCCCTTATAGTTTTACAAAATCAGTGAGAATTAATATCTAGTGGAGTAATTCTGAAATATATATATATATATTGAAAAATAGAAAAAAAAGTCATTGATCATTTGGGAATGAGTCTCTAATCAGAAATACTCAAGGTTTCAGTGTACTTTAAATATGCTTGAGGTCTGTTCATGATGTTATCCTTATATAAATGAATACTTAAATATCACTGGCTTCATTAAATTTAACTGCATATATAAATATTGTGCTAAATTTCAGCCTGGTGCTAATTCTCCATTAAAATTAGTGAAAAGTAGACGCAAAATACTACTAAATCAAAATACTAGAGCCCTAATGCTCATTTTGCATTATTATAATTTCCTACCTGGGGTCTGGATGAAGGATAATCAAGTCTGGAGAATATAAATAGATTGCTATTGTATCTTCAAGCAAAAGTTAATAATGCAAGCCAATAACACAGAGCGACTTACTTATCTCTTTGTTCAGCTGAGCAATGGCCACTCTAGTCCCCATTCCTCTGAGAGTTTTTATGTTTGTGACAATTTTGCTGTGAGGTTCTGAATTTTTCTATTTTGCTATCTGGGGGATCAAACCTACCAACTCCCAATGGGATATAATTAGAGATGGCCCAAGGAGCTGGAGAAGACACTACAGATAATCCAGTCTGACAATATGCTGAGGAGGGCAGCAACACGGAGGCACAAGAGGTGGAGTTCAGAATATCTGGTGGGGAATTATCAGTCAATTAAGCAGCTGGATGATGGCTTTGGATTTCAATGATTAGCTGTAGTTATGATATCTCAAGACCTTTGTGCTTTTCATGCAGTTCATCCATGAATATTTAGAACTAAACCTTTGATTTAGGTAGGCTTTGTTTTATCTCAGCTTGGTTTTGTAAATGTTGAGAGATGACAACCTTCGCTGAAATCCATCAGTATAGCAGGTGCTCTGCATCTATGGAAATCAGTCTCTCTATGAAATATTAAACATATACCCAGGACTTGAGTGGTAATAATTTAACAAGAAGACCTGTATTCTCTTTTATCCTTTTGTATATATTAAAATTAATTTCAGACAAGGTAAACTGAATGCCACTGAATTCCCAGAGCCTACATATATGTCAGCATTAAAAAAAAATGTATTTCACCTCTCTCTTTCCTCTCCATTCTCCCCCACTCTTTCACAAAACTCTTTTTTCTTCTGGTTTCTAGAACTAGAGAACAATTGATTTGAGCTGCAGTCTGAAAAGTAGATTTATCTGAGAAAAAGTGGATGCATTTTCAGAATCAAGATTTTTTTTGTAAACATATTTGGTGCCAAACAATAGCAAATAACACAACATCAATGTATTTTTAATGTACTTCTACCATCTGGACATTTTTCAGGATTATTTCCCACATTTGAAGGACTGATGAAATGAATGTTTATTTTCTCTTCCATCAATCCTACTGCTCCAAAGTAGCATCAGCAAAATCACATAGATGTTTGTTTGTAAGGTGTACCTTATGGGCAGTAGTAGCAACCTGCCTATTTATTGTGTCTGAAAAAGAAAATCCTTTGGACTAATGACGTTGAACTTATGGGGTTTTGAGTCAACTTCCTCCATAAAACCGTGTCACAGTTTAATTTCATACCCACTGTGAGATCTCAAACAAATGGAAATAATGTCTTGTATCCATGGTAACAAATGAGATACACTTTACCTGATTTTGAGATGGAAATTGAATTAACTTGTCACTGCCGCATAGGTGGTATTGCCTTCAATTTATTTCTATATGAGAACACACATACCAAGCAGATCACTTTTCAAATGGCTCCGTTTTTCAGCAGTGTTTGGTATTCTGTAATAAAGTCTGTGATCATAAGGAGGGATGTTTTAGTTATAACTATTTTTACAATACTTCACAACACAGCTGTAAGATTTTTTAAAAAATCTTTTCTCTTTTTCTGAAATGTTTTACCAGATACATGACTATAGGTAATGCAGAAAATAGCACCTAGTAGTGTTGCTTAATGCTTGCCATTATGAAGACTCAGATTTCAGTGGGTAAATAACTTGTCCAAATTTTAACCATTTGGGTTTACGTGTTCCATGTGAATTAGCAAGTAGAGTCTTTCGAAAAATTCTCATCAAAGTCTGTCAGCCCTTCTAAGAACAAAGTGAAAAGAAAAAAAAAAAAAATTTTGTTTGTTGTCCACCGAATACAATTCTTGAGGAAATGCACTTGTCACCTGCATGCTTTGAAAAACTGATTCAGAATTTGACAGTGAGTCACTATGGATTCAGTGATGTAGTTTTCACATCGTTTATAAAATCTGCCTGAAACTGATAATATTGCAAGCCTTTGAAAAATCTCAGTGTGCCACATAGGCAATGTCAGTCATTAGCACATATCCAAACCAATTTTGCATCTTTACTGGGCAGCCAGGTTTGTTTATGAACCATCTCCACAGCACAGCCAGCAACGCAAAGTTTTAAGCCTCAAGTTAGTCCTAAATCTGCAAAGCATGGTTCAGTTCCTGGAAATAATCTAGTTCCTTTAGCATGGGTCTCTACTTGAAGTAGTTAATTCCACCATTCTGTCAGGCTTAGTTGGCCAACGTATGTTACCATACTTGCATAGCAGTACTAAACTGGCTGATTTTCCAATAGGCTGGTAATTCAGTGGGGTTCTTCGCTGCATCATGAAAATATGCCTTGCTGATGTTCTCTCCTCTCACAACTCCCTAAGCATGGTTGAATATAGACTGAATGTAAGCTCCTGCAAGCAATGGCATGATCCAGAAATCCCCATTTAAACCGTGCTTCCACTTATTTTTTCTCCAGGAATGCACCCAAGTGCCTACAGTCCTTCTGTTGCACATGCTGGGTTTATCTGGGACATTTAAGAGGCACCTCATTGCCCAGGTCCCCCAAGGGGCCTGATTCATTATCTGGGCTTAGATCCATATTCCTAACATACCATGACAGCATACGCTCGTCTTCGTTGGTGGTGAAGCATTAAAGCCTAGCCACGGGGTTATTGCATGAGCAGGGGATGTGCGGAGGTGCCTCACTTAAAATCAGTGCTTGGAGTAAAAAGCAAAAACAATAAGAAAAGTCGTGGGTGGTAGGCATAGGGCTGACATACAGGCTGATATGCTGCTGCCATTGTCATTGATTCTGGTAGCTCTGGGTGTCTCCACAGGAATCTGAACACATTTTGACCCTGTTAATGATCCATGTGGGTGTCACTCTGATGCAGCGCAATGAAAGCGCTCTTT